GACTTAAATCGTCATCAGTTAAAAAAGATTGATTAACGCTCAAATAAATATTATGTGAAAAGTCGAACTGTTTAATTCTTTTTATAAAAAAACTGATTTCTTGTTTTTTAAGGGACTTCCATTTTTACTAGTTGGTTTAATAAATGGATTAAACAGGTACCATGCGCAGATTAGGAAATGCTTATTTTTTCGGGGCACATCATACACCTTTTCGCTATTACTTAATATTTGAACGTAGGATATTTCCGCCATAGATTAGGAAATTACAAAACTTGCCATAGATTAGGATTTTTAAAAATCTGCCATAGATTTGGGATTGCATGACGTCATATTTACCATAGATTCGGAATCTGCCATAGATCTGGAACCCACCATAGATTGGAGTCCTACATATATATTCAATGTAAAAATAAGGAGATGTGGTATGATTCCCAATGAGACCACTATCCACAAAAGTTCTATAGGCAACCGTACGGCCTTCAACAATGAGAAAAACTCATACTGTATCGTCAGTTTTAAAAGGCCCCGAAATGAAAAATATGAAACAATTCAATTGAGAAAAACTAACGGCCTAATTTATAACAGAACAATTTACGAAAAACAAATATGACAGATATGAACCAACGGCAACCACTGAACTACGGGATCCTGACTTGGGACAGGCACATAAAGTATGTGTTGGGGTTAAACATGTTTGAAGGCACCAATCCCCCTACTAACCATGGACAATGGTTCAATGACACACAACAAAAACAAACTATACGAAACAATAAACAATAAACGAAAACATATACGAGAAAAAGCATTAAACCATTGTCGTGACGTCAGCCTATTCATTTGCCGTGGATTCTTTTTCTAGAATCAACGCTTCCTAAATCTGTCGCTGAAATGGACTCACCAAATTATATTCAATTGTTTCCTTTGTGTGCCTAATTTCATTAAGTTTGAATTAGCTAATTTACTGATTTCTGTTCACTAATGGAATTAATTTCAAAACTTACCTTCAGTTTTTGTAACTTTTATATGCCATCACTGGGAATCGAACCCCTCCTTGAAATCTGTTATATGTGACTGACATCAACACATCCATGAAACCTCTCGGCTACCAATGGGTTGCAAGTTAGATGTCTATTTTATATATATAAATGAACATAGGATACTCATCGCTACAACGGACACACAGGGCTTGTACCTTTATATATACATAATAGGCAACCGTATAGTATAAATCAGTAGCCGCCAGGTTAACGTGGTTAAGATCAATGAGTTGAAGATTCAAGTTAAAGGTAGAGAGAGACTTGTCGGTTTAGGTTCGAATCCCTGTATTCTTTTTGATGTATCTTTTCTTTAGTTTATCCGTTTTTCTTATTTTGTATGTTAGTGTGAATATTTATTTAATAGCTGGTTTTCCCGTTTATGTTTTTGGATTATTATTGGCCAATTCGGGTATTTGATAAAAAATGATTACATTCAATTTATCCATTTTTGTTTTATATTTATATAATATGATTTCATCTGTTTTACTACACGTCTTTACAAATGCTTAACCGCAAATACCTATGCGAGTAAATTGTGATGTGCCAATAATAAGGGTTCTTGCTATAAATTTTGGTAACATACTTATTATATATACTTAAAAATAAATTCGAACATGTCTTATTTTGTAAATTAAGGATGATATTCAGATGCATAATAATTCAAAGACGGACGTGTTATGTTATATTTGTATTTCCTTAACTAATTAATTGTGAACCTTGTTAATGCATCGTTGCACATGATAACATGTCTATTTATATTCACTTACAATACCTTCTAATTAAGAAAAGGCTTTAATTTTGAAAAGAAATCAACACAATAGTTTAAGTAATAGATACAATGGATAAGCGTAGATTCATGAATAACAAACCATTCGCCCTCCGGGCTCATGGTTTCTTTTTCAAGAATCTACGCTTATCCATTGTATCTATATTACATATACTACAAACACTTTAATTACAGGCTTCAGACGGAACAAGCACATATAGAATGTGGCGGGGTTAATCATGTTTGAAGGTTCCAACCCTCCCCAAACCTTGGACAGTGGTGTCACAGTACAACATAAGAACAAACTATAAAAATCAGCTGAAAAGGGCTTAACTCATCAGATCGATACATAGCAGAAAAACATTTAACAAAAAACAGACCGGACGTGGCAGGATATGCATACATCCATAACAACACAAAAGACACAATGTACAGATCTGAGAGTACTCGCAGTTACTGACAGCTAGTTCAAAGCCAATAAAAACCAATAAAAAGTCATATATCTAAGACTAAAAGCAGAAATGTTTTTTTCCTCAAATACGTTTGCGCCGAACTCGTGTGATATCACTATGAAAAATGTGATGTGATATGACTTCCGATGAGACAAACATTCACCATTTAACCGATTTGGATAAATTCTAAAGATGAAATCATTAAGGGTCCAAGTAGGCTGAGACTAATAGTCTTTTTGGACTTGTTTGTCTTTTCGTTGTTTTTCTATTTGACCTGTTTTTTCTACATATGATGTTTGAATGCCCACTTGATATAGTCTTCCTCTTTTTATTATAGTTGATAAAGAACTATTTTACCAAAGTTCACTCTAAATTAAATTATGGGCATAGGACAGATTATAATTAGTGTGAACATTTTTTTACATTATATTTTCTATCGATCTGTAAGATTTTAAGTTACCATTATACGTAAGTTATACAAAAACTAATAACTTATGTTCAAAAACCGATATTGGCGATTATTACCGACTTCTTTCATACCGTTCTCAGTACTAACCTACATATTTTCTTAATTAAACTATGATCAATTCTTACTTATTTTGCGAACCAAATGAAAGTTTTCGACAGAGTCATCTCCACTTGGTCAAGGTAGTTAAACTGTTGTCAGTTCCCTTGTCCCATTGAATAAATACAATAGCTATTGTTCTCTGTGGAGTTTATTCAATGGGACCTTTAAATTTCTTCTAAGAGAAATCTTTCATTCATTGATTAGATTACCTGACCAAAAAAATTATCTTCTTAGTTGATTAAAATAGATGTATAAACTACAAAACTGCATGTGATGTTGAATATTATTCAATATCAATAATATATTTTCAATCTGTTCAATATAAACACTGATTAAATTATGAAAAGTTTATTTCTGACAAATTTATTGGTATTGTTCCAATTGAATTTGCATTTTTTTTTGGTGGTTGTTCAGTTATAGAATACATTTAAGAAGGCCTTAATTTAAACATCATCATTTTCCAATTTTTATTTGTCAAATACACACACACAAAAAAAACCAAATTTCAATAGTACAATATTGAAAATTTTGTCAGAAATCAACTTTTAATTTTTGTATCAGTGTTTATATTGAACAAATTGAAAATGTATTGATGATATTGAAAAAATACAACATCACATGCAGTTTTGTGTGTCCTTATTTAGTATTGGTACATGTATTTTCATCATTGAAAGCTATTTTTTTTTGTTCAGGTAAATTAATCAATGAGTGATGGATTTCTCTTAGAAGAAATTTTTAAAAGGTCCCATTGAATAAACTCCACAGAGAACAATAGCTATAATTGTATTTATTAGATGGGATAAAAGAACTTACAAAAGTTTAAATCGACAGGTAACCTTCAAGTGAATCTGTGGAAAAGTATCATTTCTTTCGCAATAATTTAATTTTGGATGTAACGCTTCTTCTGATTGGCTGACGTTGTTTTGTTTATCAGCTCATAGACATAATTTTGTCATGTGACCGTGACGTCATCAAGGTTTTTTCATGGTTTACTCCGGTTTAAAATGGAATTTAGAATTAAATTATAAGAAATGACTGTAATATTTTTTCTGTCTATTCGAAATAACATAAAAAATGTGGTGCACACTTTAAAATAAACCGCTACGCGGGTTATTCAGTATGCACCACAATTTTGATGTTATTTCTTCATAGACAGAAAAGATATTACAGTCATTCCTTAAATAATTGTATTCTTTGTAGAATAAAAATTGAAAACAACACGTTATATATTCCATGCGTCCGAAGCGCTTCTCTGGATTTGAAAGCCGAATATTTGAAATAACAACCAATACAGTCGAAGAGCTTATGACTTATATGATTCTAACAGGTGCTCATTACTATCTGCTGAACGGATTAAACTATAACCTTGGAAATAAAATTTGAAATACTTTCCAATGGTACAATCTTTAAAAACATAAGGCATTGATAGGTGTTTTACTGTTGATTCACGCTGCAAAATTATAAAACAACAAGCGTAGCGACCTGTTAAATACGCCCCTTTCATTCAAAAGCTAAATAGCATGAGGGACTGGATGGGTGGTTCTTCATTTCTGTATTCTTTAATGTTTTAGGCCATTTTTCTCTATTCTTTATAAATTTTGCCTGTTGTTCTCTATTCTTTACATTTTATCACCCCATTATTCTCTATTCTTTATCTTTTGGTCTTTTTTCTCTACTCTTTACTGTTTTTTCCTTTATTCTGCATATCTTGCCCATTATTCTCTATTCTGTAAACCCATCCACAGATATTGTAATTAAAAATCTTAAACAAAACCACTTTGTACAATGTCTGCTGATATAATGTATCTACAACGATATCATCCGTCGTACCACAGAAATAAACTTGATAAGCAATTACAGAACAAAGGGTAAATTAAATTCATTAGTAAGCTTCTGATGATTGTGTGTATAGTAGAGGGTCTCGATGGGGACCCTCATTTCTTTATTCTTTATTTTTTAGACCATTTTTCTCTATTCATTATTTACCTTTATTATTCTTTATTTTGCTCTCTATTCTATATATTTTAGCACCCTTTTGTTCTCTATTCTTTATTTTTTTGTCTATTTTTCTTATTCTTTATGTTTTTGGCCATTTATTCTGCATCTTTTGCAAATTATTAGCTATTCTGTAAACACCATCCACACCCTCATAGTATTGTTTTACTTATTCATTTCTCCGTGTTTCATCTACTCGTGATTTTGAGATTGGGATTTCCCTCAAAGTCTTATACTACATTGGTTATTCCTTCGTATGGTGTATATAAGTAAGCTTTGGAAGTATCTGTGCAATGTATATGGACATGTTTCACGTTTCACATATCATTTGGATTTTATAATTTCACACATAATTTTTTAAAACAGTGACTTGGAAAAGATCGCAGAGCAAGGTAATATACGGGTCAGTACTGTTTACATGTAAAAACCTGGGCGTTATGTATATTTGTCATTTCATCTGATTTATTAATGTTACACCAAAGAATTCAACTAATGTAACTTTTGTGTTGACATGAAATATCATTGATATGTTCATTTTCTGTAAATTTACTGTTGATAAAATGTTGAAATATTCAAAACGGTAAGGTTTTTCTACCTGCAGGTAAAGATTGCCGTAGCCGTAATTTGCACCTTTTATTTTAATCTTCGGTTATGAATGCCCTTCAACTTTGTAATCTTTGATTTGGCTTTGCAAATGTTTTTATTAGAGCGCCACTGAAGAGTCTTATGTAGACGTAACGCGCGTCAGGCGTACCAGATTATGAGCCTGGTATCTTTGATATGGTTATTTTTTCATACCCTGGAAATTCAACGGCAGAAAGACAAGATGTCAAAACATTACCTGGTATCCCTGTTATCTACTTCAGCTATTATAATGTACCTTGATCGAAGAAGATATCACAAGTTTTCATGATGATCAGATGATGACTTTGAATCGATACTTGTCGACTTCTTGTGAAAAACGTAAAACAAATTCAACTGTTGTAGGTTTTGTAAATACATGTACATAACACCAGCAGCACATGGGCATTTCCAAACCAAGCATTGCCTCCATAGAAATATGTAACGATTTTTAGGTTTTGTGCGCAACTTTATTGATACTGTTTAACTTCTGCTACAAATCACAACATGAAGCTTTTTGTTGAGTGAGAGCAGCAAAGAATTTAAAAAAAAGATTCATATGGTGTCGAGCAAATGATATTTTGCAATATAGTTGTAATGAAAATCTGGTATCGATTTATCGTATTGTATTTGGGTGCTTTTCATGATAGAAACAACACTTTTTCTCTGTTTTACCAGCAAACCGAAAGATGACTTGATAAGTTTGGGTCTGACTTATCAACGTCGGGTCAAATATTATGATGTTGTCGACAAGTCCTTGTCAAATTTGTTTTGTTCAGGTCAAACATATTTTAGTCTCTGATGCATGATTTTTTATTATTAATTGTTTTTGGCTTTTAACTAGCTTTCAGTAAATGCGAGTACTCTCAAATCGTACTTGCGTGTTAATTTGACCTGTTGACACAATTTGTAATGCATTTCTGTTTTTCAATGTTTACTTATTTTGTGTTATAGCTCGTCTTACTATTTTTAGTATGTACCACCTTTGAAAAGTATTTAGTATGACGAAAAAATTTCACTTCTGTACTCGTACTATGAATAACAAGTTTATTTTGTAAACAATGTTTCTGTACTAACAACAAAATTATTATATTTAAATTTACCTGTGTACGTTACTTTATTTAACGCCATTTTGTCCTAGGTTAAAGTTGTCTTTTTGACATTGAAACACCTTTTTTATTTATATGTGTCATAGATCAAACTTATTCGTTCAGTGTAAATTTAATTGTTTTTGTGTATTGTCTTTTTGATCGAGTTAAGCCATTTCGATTGATATTTTATTGTGTGTTTTATTATGTTGTAATGTTATACCACTGTTTCAGGTTAGGGTGAATGTTGGCGCCTGTTAAAACGTTTAAACCCGCTGCATTTTTGTGCACCTGTCCTTAGTCAGGAGCCTGTTGTTCAGTGGTTGTCGTTTGTTGGTGTGGTTCATAAGTGTTTCTCGTTTCTCGTTTTTTATATAGATTAGACCGTTGGTTTTCCTAATAGAATTGTTTTACACTAGTCTTTTTGGGGTCCTTTATAGCTTGCTGTTCGGTGTGAGCCAAGGCTCCGTGTTGAAGGCCGTACTTTGACCTGTTATTGTTTACTTTTGACGCATTGTGACTTGGATGGATAGTTGTCTCATTGGCACTCATACCACATCTTCTTATTTATATTAACGTCAAAAAGCCGTGATATGCAATTTCATGATCAGTTCAGAAGAGTTACAGCCATAGGAAACATCGATAACACATTATACATTACAAAGAAAACCGTCACCACTGAGACGGCAATATTAAAACGTTTCAGACAGTAAAACGAGAATGAGTGCACCAAAACCTTCACATTGTTCCAAGCTTCAATCGGCATTCGTCATATATAAGTAATACAGTTATTTCATCTTAGTCTGAATGTCAGAAACGTACGGTGCGTCGATGAACAGATAATGCATAGAGTATGCACTGCATGGGTAAACCGACGAGATTCTTGAGCCGAGTTCTGCAATTTGAAACTTTTTTGACACTTTACCTTAAATTTTATATAGGCAGATACCAGCTATATCCCGTAAAATGACATCTCTGATTATCTGATCCTAAACAAATGAATATAGAAAATGTGTTGTGCTCAGAATCCAAATGATGAAGATGTAGGTCCATTATACACATGCAACTAAATATACAAATTGAATGTTAAATCTCGCCCTTCAACGGTTTTCTTCCGAATGCAAAAAAGCTGATATTTTTCTTACATTGACCTAATATTGTTTTTATACTGCAGCTGATAATGGCTACACTTATCGTCATGGAAATGTTCACACAAAATTTAAATGTATTTCCATCACTAAACGAACCCCAGGTTGTGAAGAAAATTAACGTGACATGAAATCGACATTGCACGAAATATCGCTTTGTTACTATAGTTGGTAGATAAAGGCAACAGGAAGTGTTCTAGCTTCAGTATAAAAAAGTTTACATATATACATATGTAAGAACTTATGTTTATTCTAAAGCACTACACATTTACTTCGAGAGCACATGTTTACGTAAATTCTAACAATGTGGGTTTTTTTTCAGAATGCATAGTCTTCAGGGACCTTTATTCGTTATACTTACCGTGCTTTATGTACTTGCTCCAGGGATTGCGACGAACAATATTCCATACTATTACTCAGTGTGTGTCCCTTGGGCTTGGAGTAGAGGTATCGTAGATATCTAATTATTTTTTACAATGATATCACACCATACAACCGAACAATATCATTTTATTTAAAACACGACGGATACGACCAGACACAGCTGTAGTCATATTGTTCAAGGGAGGAAAGGAGAAGGGTCAATTTCCCCTGTATTTTTTCACTCACAGGATCAAAATCTAAAAGTAGTCAAATCCTAGCTGGAAATTGAACATTCAAGTGTCTGAATATATCATATGCTTGAAATATTTTAATCACAAACATACATATATCCCATAAAGTAAAAAAAATATTCGTCGCTACAAGTTATCGTTAAAGACATTTTGAAACAAAATTGCAAATTTTACGTGTTTTTTTTCAAATTATGCATAGAAGTACATAGCTAACCAAAATGAATTAATTAGTATCCGAAAGAAAATACACAGTCAGGTTTGCTTCCAACATAATTTTTGTTCCGGTTAACGATGTTATTCTTATACAAATTTGAGATAAATATTCAAAATTTATCAGCATCTTTCAAAATTACCGTTTTGTGCTATCTTTAGGCGTTTATAATTTGATTACCTGTTTAGCAATAAGCTATAATATTGTATATACCTTAGAGTACACATATTAGGCTGTGATAATAGGAATTTATAAGAAAAATTGAAAGAAAATGTTTGAAAAGGACTTTAATGTGAAATAAATTCAAGAGAAATTGGCCCTACTCCTTTTGCATTTTTCTGTTTATTTCTTCACTTCTTGGACGAAATAGGCTGCTAACTGCTTCATTCTACTTAATATTGTCAAAATAACAAAACACAGTTTCCTTAATTTTTATGTAAACACCTTAAAGGCACTCACTTGTTGAAGGACTAACGGCATAGAATTTATTTAACTTTTTTTTCCTTTTTAAGTCAACAGACATCCTTGTGCTCTTAGTCTGCAGGAACAAATAAATTTAAATCTTTAATTTCTTTTTCAGCATATTATTACTGTAGAAACCAAAATAGGGAAAATAAAAATAAAATATGCGAACTTACATCCAAACTGGAGCGAGTTCAAACAGAATTAGAAAGACAGAAAAATATCACAGCAAATTTCAACGCAGAACTTTTAAAAAGAATCTCCTCATCTATCACAGAACAGAACAGTTTATGGCTAAAATGCATCACTGTAACTCCTGGGAGACATTGCGACATCACACAAGGTTGTGCAACTAAAGAGACAATATGTCGTCCAATTAATGTGTGAACATTGCGATAGTTAATGGACAAACGTAACTACTTTATTTTAAACATTTAGAGTAATTTACGTAACTACTCAACATTTGGAGTAATTTGTTGTCAGGAGTTTTTTCATTATATCTATTATTGAACTGATAGGATAACTTGTTTATTTAGAAATTTTTGGTGGTAAATTGTCAGAGACATCGAGTTTCGAAACCACAAAAACATACGAGTTTCATTTATTGTAAGATCAGGAAGATTTGCTTTGGCTAATTTCATCTTGAAATAAGATTTATCTGTTTATTAAATTTAGACCCATGGACATGTTGTTGTCTCTGGTCGTCTATCACATTTCTTGAGACGCCAATTCTCGGCATTTGCTAGCTTATCAAAAGAAGAACAGGAAGAACGGGATCCTTTGAACTTGTCTCGGCATTTGCTAGCTAATCAAAAGAAGAACAGGAAGAACGGGATCCTTTGAACTTGTCTCGGCATTTGCTAGCTAATCAAACGTAGAACAGGAAGAACGGGATCCTTTGAACTTGTCTCGGCATTTGCTAGCTAATCAAACGTAGAACAGGAAGAACGGGATCCTTTGAACTTGTCTCGGCATTTGCTAGCTAATCAAAAGAAGAACAGGAAGAACGGGATCCTTTGAACTTGTCTCGGCATTTGCTAGCTAATCAAACGTAGAACAGGAAGAACGGGATCCTTTGAACTTGTCTCGGCATTTGCTAGCTAATCAAAAGAAGAACAGGAAGAACGGGATCCTTTGAACTTGTCTCGGCATTTGCTAGCTAATCAAACGTAGAACAGGAAGAACGGGATCCTTTGAACTTGTCTCGGCATTTGCTAGCTAATCAAAAGAAGAACAGGAAGAACGGGATCCTTTGAACTTGTCTCGGCATTTGCTAGCTAATCAAAAGAAGAACAGGAAGAACGGGATCCTTTGAACTTGTCTCGGCATTTGCTAGCTAATCAAAAGAAGAACAGGAAGAACGGGATCCTTTGAACTTGTCTCGGCATTTGCTAGCTAATCAAACGTAGAACAGGAAGAACGGGATCCTTTGAACTTGTCTCGGCATTTGCTAGCTAATCAAACGTAGAACAGGAAGAACGGGATCCTTTGAACTTGTCTCGGCATTTGCTAGCTAATCAAACGTAGAACAGGAAGAACGGGATCCTTTGAACTTGTCTCGGCATTTGCTAGCTAATCAAACGTAGAACAGGAAGAACGGGATCCTTTGAACTTGTCTCGGCATTTGCTAGCTAATCAAAAGAAGAACAGGAAGAACGGGATCCTTTGAACTTGTCTCGGCATTTGCTAGCTAATCAAAAGAAGAACAGGAAGAACGGGATCCTTTGAACGTGTGCAATGCACAGAACAACCTGTACAGAACTTCAATACATAAAACAACAATTAAACGATACATTTAAGTCTAGCTTCAAACATTTAACGTGTGCATATCATTCTTGTGCGTTCCCTAACCAAAACAACCAGACCAGGTGTAATTTTTGAACAACAAAAGAATTATAGTCACTTTAATCAATAAGTCTAAAATCAAACAAAAAAAAAAAAGATTTACATGACACTTTCTTACTTGCTAGCTTCATAAATGATACTAATGGAAAAGGTTTGAAGTGTAATACCACTGTTTATCAAATTCCTGCAGTTCGTTTAAACAAATAAATTGAATGAATTAAATCATGCAATATCAGACAAATATGATTCCAAAAACAAGCAACATTGAGTATGTTTATCTGTCTCTGAAATTAATGTCAAACAAATTCATGAATACTACTTCAATAAAAAACAAGGAGATGTGGTATGATTTCCAATGAGCCAAATACCCAACAAAGTCCAAATGACGAGGCTGTAAGCAACTACAGGTCATTGTACCGTACGGCCTTCAACAATGAGCAAACCCCAAACTTTAAAGTCAGCTGTAAGCAACTATAGGTCACTGTACGGCCTTATATTCGGTAAAAAGCTCTTAAGAGCTTATGTTTGTATTGTTATATGTGAACCGAATCAAAATAAAACTTTCGTATTCGTATTCGTATTCAACAATGAGCAAACCACAAACGGTAAAGTCAGCTTTAAACAACTATAGATCACCGTACGGCCTTCAACGATGAGCAAACCCCATACTTTAAAATCAGCTTTAAGCAACTATAGGCCATAGTACGGCCTTCAACAATGAGCAAACCCCAAACTTTAAAGTCAGCTGTAAGCAACTATAGGTCACTGTACGGCCTTCAACAATGAGCAAACCACAAACGGTAAAGTCAGCTTTAAGCAACTATTGATCACCGTACGGCCTTCAACGATGAACAAACCCCATACTTTAAAATTAGCCTTAAGCAACTATAGGTCACCGTACGGCCTTCAACAATGAACAAACCACAAACTTTAAAGTCAGCTTTCAGCAACTATAGGTCGCTGTACGGCCTTCAACAATGAGCAAACCACAAACGGCAAAGTCAGCTTTAAGCAACGATTGATCACTTCAACGATGAGCAAACCCCATTCTTTAAAATCAGCCCTAAGATATATAAGAAGGTCATGGTAACAAAAGAATAAAGCTTGTTTCTACAACACTACAACGAAAATTAGGGGATTCAACTGTATGAGGTACATATAAAAGGAGTTCAGAGCGCTGGAGTGCATTCGTTAGCGTGCATTGAGACTTGCCCAATTCTTATTTTATTCAAAAATATGTTGGTTTTTATTAAATTTAGAGTGCGAGTCGCATTGACTTATAATATGTAAAGTACTAGTATCTTATTCCATAATTCCACTGTTGCAGAGAAGAAATTTACAGAATATTTGCCTTTGCCTTGAATATAGTTATTCTTACTTCCTACAAAACCTGGTATTCGTTAAACCATATATTTTGACATAAAAAAATGTGTGACACAGTTTCAATTTATGATTTTTTCTTCGTTCCGTACACGTTTCTGATCGAATTTCAACATATAATTTCTCAATATTCGTGAGTTTAGCTACCATGTAACTCTACGTGCGTCATCAAGCTAGATATTATAAAGCCTTTGTATTGAGATAATAATAATAATAATAATAATAATAATAATAATAATAATAATAATATTTTTTTTTATTTAAAGAGGGTAACTCAATTAGAACTTGTCTTAAACAAAATACATTTATACAGTTAACATTCATACATCAAAATACAACATAGATATAAATCATTCAGACATTTAAATGGCAACAATTAATACAGTGTTTATATTTTAACCATAAAAGAAAAAATATTTAACTTAAAGCTTGCATAGAATTTTAAAGAAAATGATTGTAACAATGTTTCTTGAATAATTCCACATTACGACATTTTTTTTTTGTGAAGGGTAAATCATTCCATACCTTGATTGCAGAATAATGAAAAGACTTTTTATAAAAATTAGTATTTGGAACGAATAGATCCTTATAAGAGATAGATCCTTATTAGAGACAGATCGTAAGTTGCGGTGTTGAACATCATTGTTAGTTAGCATTGATAACTATGCGCGTTTCATCTTAAAAACAAAAATGTTTACAACGGTTATAACTGTCAGTTAAACGTTAGTTTGAGTTACTAGAACTGTACCCAGTCAATCACTCTCAGTGTCAGTATTCCGTTGGGCGAAAACAGCTTTCGACGTTGTTCGTATTGTTCTTTTAACGTCCAACTGGAAGACGTCTTTATTGTGACGTCGGCCTTTCCCATCAATCTCCTCTTTCCTTCACAACGACGTGAAAAGAAATACACGCAAAGATTCAGCAACTTTTCGCAGAAAAATGATCGAAATGGAGGCCACAGATGTCGCTATGACCATATATATTCCAAGGATGTACGGAATAGGTTATATTTTTGATGGAATGTAAGTATTCTAAGAATTCAGTAAAGAAAAAAATGTATTATGTGAGCTATAAATGCTTTGATTTCGCGATGGGGTTGGGGATTTGTGAAATCATTCGACAACACAATATTAATTGGTAATAATGGTTAGGGAATTCAATAAAAAAAAACAATTACAAAACGAAAAGAAATAATCAATTCCGTCAAATCATGTTATACAAATTGTATGTTGTAGGTTTGACAAGCAGATTGTCAAACAATGTGAAAAGAAGATCAAAGAAATGGAAAAGGGGATTAAAAAACACAATCAAATTTACAAGAAATTGCAGGATCAACAAAAGGTAATAATTATAATTCACATCAGCCCCCTAAACGAACAAAAAAATAATGTGAGATAAAATAAAACAGAAAAAGGTTATTGTCAGACAAAAAGGGATTGACCAACGCAACCCTTTAAAGAATTACTATGAAAAGAGCGAATTGAAAGATACGACCCCCCTGAATTTTTACTTAGGACAGAAGTTATTGTTACTAAGATAAGAACCTCAACATTCATCAAATAACAGGACTTCTGACAAATATTCTTGTAAAATTGTATGTAAAATGACAACAAATGCTTTAAGTATGACTATTATTTGAGTCAGTTCTAAGAAACCTTATTTCTAAAATTTGAATAAAAATAACATTTCAGGTGTGTTGGCTTGCCAACAGAAAAGTTGCATACAAATTGGATACTTCAAAGAAGATTAATGATTACATAGAAGAAAATGTAAGTGCGCATGGAGAACGCACAACACAAAAAGCGATAAAAAAGGTTCAGAAACATCTTCAAGAAACATTAAAGCAAGCGAAAAGGACGGAACAAAAGCACAAAAATCTTCTGGAACAGGAGTCCAGGATAAGATCATCTGTCAAAAAGGTAAATATGCAACATTATAATACAAAGCAGACAAAACCATCAATGTATTCGACTAAACAATTAGGGATTATAAAAAAAATATATTTAGCACTTAATTGTCGAAAAATATTGGATGAAACACCAACGATAGTCTCTAACACATATATAGACACAAATAAAAGTAGATTAATATTAGCCTTTAATTCAACAACCTAGAAAGGCACGTTTGGCGCCCAATGTTTTTTTTTGCTGAACAAACACTGAAAAAATGTATGACTGGTTTTGGTGCTGGGTACACGCAAAGGAAGTGAAATAACTATTTCCTTGCAGAGTACAGGATAAGATCTAGAACTAATAGTGTAATAGTTCAAGGTTTGGTAAATTATTTTGCACAGAGTACATAAAATTTCATCCACAATAGTTCTTTTTTGATTAACCTTTGTCATTCTATTTGTTTAGCTGGAACAGGACATAGTCAAAATGATTGAATTCCAAGTGAATGATAGGACACGAACTTCAATACCCGTGTAAGTAATTTGCATACGAACTGAAGCCAGCCAAATATTCATCTGTTAATTATCTTTGAAGAAAGTATGTTGACCTTTAATTGTCTTGTTGCTTTACCATCGCTGGATACTTTCCCACATCTCTTTTTTCCCATGTAACAATACGCAACACTGACAAAAGCACAGAAAGTTTTCAAGATATAGATAACAAATGTCTTTTTCAGCAAACAAACAATATACGATAATAGAAAAAATCATCTCAAGTGCAAGTACTAAATGTGTCAACTATCTAACTACAAAAGCACATGTGTATCACAAAATTAACAAATGCTTATGATTAACAACATAAGAGAGAAAATGGATAAAAGAGATCATGTTAAAGCCAAAAAAAAAGAATAAAGATTCGATTATTTAAAGGGCGATTTAAAGGAATATATACAACAGTCGGTGCATGGGAATAAAATTTTGGAAAATTTATGGAAAATTCGCACAAAATGTGTTGGTAGATGAAAAGTCAACATGCTTTACAATGTAACAATCAAGTACGCACTACAATATTTTTATTTCATTTCAGTAATAGTAGGATACACACAATCATACCGATACAAACTCTTGTGCAAAGAATGAGTAGCAAATACCAGTTTACCATGCCTCAGGTTAGTTCATTTATTATATTCATGAGCATATGTCATGTGACTGGGATAATTTATTGTGCAGTTTAAAACACAAATTACTTGTGTGTTAACCAATGTATTGTCAAGTGGTCACTTCTATAAAGATTGTTACAAGAGCTTTTAGAAAAATGTTGACTGTTGATATCTGAGTCAAAATTTGAATAAATTAGTAATCAAATTACCCGATTCAAGATGTTTCAGATGATTTGAAAGGGTGACATTTAATTATAAGCTTCCATGACAACATACATGGAATTGACAACTTGCCAAATTTGTAAATTGTTGCTTCCTAACTGTCTAGCGGAAAACATTTCATGCATATTCACGACTAGAAAATATTAAAAATTAGTACAATAGGTAGTCTCTAAAAGAATTATGGACCGACAATAAAAAAAAACCGGTGTGTTGGATAGAAACAGAATTTTTACCTTGCAACAGGCCACCTACAAACAGTAGTTGCAAGGAGTTAATTTAATTTTAAAACAATATTTTTAGCAAAAATTTATAAGAAAAAAATATTTCTCTGAATTAAAATGAAATATTGACAGTGAAGCACAATTCAAATAAGTAAAAAAATAAATATCAGATTTTATTTAATAAAATACTCAAGTTTTTATTCTGTCTTTTATTTTTTTTAATTTACTTTTTTTAAATATTTTTCAGGAGTTTAATGAAAAGAATGGATTCTATGCAAGGTTGCCAGATTTTGAATTAATCAAACGTGAATTCCGTAGATAAAGACTGTGATATTGAGTCGAAGAGCATAACATACAACATACATTTTTGTAAATGACTTTTCGTGTGTTTTATTTATTTTATTTTTGTACTGAATAAATTATAATATATTTTTTTCATTTTTCATTTCACATTTATACGTTAATTCCCAGCTAATCGGAAGAAAAGACCTGAATCACTCACGTCGATTTAATTTTTCGTAGTCACTAAAGACAGCATTTTATCACAACCAAATGAATTCTTTTTTGTCCTTTGAAGCCTTAATTTTGTTCAAATCTGCCGTCAGGGTCAATCAGATCGGCCAATCTTCAAAAATTTACTCCTCAAAAACTGCATAATGAAATTTATATCTTTTAGCCTCTTCAGTTAATCCATATTAAAAGTTGATCAACTGGCAACCATGACCGCCGTATTAGTGACTCTTTTCACACGGTAGACTGTTCCAATGATTTTGTGAACATGGAGCTATGTTTTTATAACTTCAACAGGAGAGACAGCTGTGTTCAATAATAAAAACATTTCGCATACACGTTAAATCAAATAGAAAAAAGTAGTAGATACTAAAGGAGGAACCAAATGACAACAGTTGAAGAGAGACAGACGAAACTATGGTCAAAAAGAAAAAAGTCGAGAAGACAAAGAAAATCCAAAAAACATGACACAGAAACAAAACATTAAGCAACTTGTGGCACACTATGGTGCTCGAAAGGATCAGTAGATATTATTCCTCTTGCAACATCTTGTATTTTTTTGGGGTATAAAATCCTTTTACTAAATGGGTTTTGTTTTAACCTTTAGAGTAATCTAAATTACAAAAACCATCGGTACTTGTAAATTATCTAACTCTTATAGATGACCATATGACAAGTTTCAAATGAAACAGTTTTTTTTCATACCACCGGATGGAAAAGATCACTGTACAGTGAAACCTGTCTAAACCGAACCTCTTCGGGATTCAAGATTTTGTTAGGTTTTAGAAAATGTTCGGTTTAATTAGGTTCACAACACATACAATTTGATATGACTGGACTTAAGAACATGTATGGTTCAGACAGGTTTTTGGTTTATGCAAGATTCTGTTTAAACAGGTTTCACTGTATCACAAAACAGAACTGACACTGAAAAATAACATATCACAAAATTCAACACAGTAAACTTAATCAAAAGGAACCAACACCCCTTTAAAAAGTATGGGGAAACCATGGTGCATACAAGAGTATATATACTTTTCAAAATTTGGTCATTTGCGATCAACTGACTCAAGCTAAAATGACTCTAACATTGTATCTGTTTACGTCGTCTAGGAACATTTAGAAACCAGATTTTAAAACAAGACTTGCACATGAAAGAGTCATAATATCAATACATAAATATTCGGCAGACGGAAAAAGACGCAATAAAACTTATTCTTAAGCTATAATTCAGTGGTTGTCGTTGGTTGGTGTCTGTCATATTTGTTTTTCGTTTATTGGTTTGTTAAAAATCAGTCTGTTGATTTTTTTCGTTTAAATTGCTTCACATTTTGTAATTTTGGTGCCTTTTATATCTGACTACTGTGGATTCATTTATTTTCGTGGGTATCAATTTTCGCGGATTGAGGAAAACTTGTATTTTCGTGAATATTTGATTTCGTGGTTTTGCCAATCTGTGCATATACAAAGCCTATAGAAAATTTGTAATTCGTTGAACATTTAAGTTCGTGGTTCACGAAATCCACGAAAATTGGTATCCAACGAAAAAAGTGAATCCACAGTATACGGTATAGGTTTGTCCATACGGTGGCCTACAGTTGCTTACATTAAGTCATTTGGACTCTAGTGGATAGTTGCCTCTTTGGCAATCATACCACATCTCCATATTATAATACATGTATGTATGCCAATATAGATATAGTTTGTATTGATTATCCGTTTCTCGAAACAATAGTAAGTTCAAATATATATGCTTATAAAAATATTATATATATATATATATATGAGGAAGTAAAGAAACAGATCTACTCTAACATCGTTAGGTTGATTTTCTAGGCACTTTATATATATGGTTTTTATTGTGTGTAAATTGTATAATTTCCAAAACATAAATTTTGAAAATATTTTTCTCGAAAAAATGTCCATTCAACTATCAAATTATACTGTTGTTATATTTAATCTTTTAAGTTTACTATGCATAAGTCAGGAACCTGATGTTCAGTGGTTGTCGTTTGTTGATGTGGTTCATAAGTGTTTTTTGTTTCTCGTTTTTTATATAGATTAGACCGTTGGTTTTGCTGTTTGAATGGTTTTACACTAGTAATTTTTTGGGGCCCTTTATAGCTTGCTGTTCGGTGTGAGCCAAGGTTCCGTGTTGAAGGCCGTACTTTGACCTATAATGGTTTACTTTTACAAATTGAGACTTGGATGGAGAGTTGTCTCATTGGCACTCATACCACATCTCCTTATTTCTATGGTGACAATCCTGCAGCTCCCGTAGAAGTTTAATTTGTGATTCGCATGATGCTTTCTTGTTGTACAGTTGATTGGTTTATCTATTTATTGTTGATTGCCTTATGTTCAGTGGCAAGTTTTTTTCAAGATTATTCAGGACAATAAAAGATAGATTCTGCGAAGTGAAGTCGGCCGGGATAAAGGATAAATGTTGACTGCCAATAGATTGATTTATTGACGGCTAATCAACGTCTAATTGAAAATTTTACATGCATATTCAGGATGATACATTTGTATATTGAATATATCATGCTTTGGACTGGACCGACGAGTAAAGTCGGATTTAAAGCAGGCTAGCTTACATTGTAACAGTCCCCCTAGGAGACAAACTATCCTACTTAGACACATTATTCTGATTCTGAGCCAATCAGTGTACTCTAAACCACAAACACCTCATACTTGACTGAGAAACAGCAATTTTGGGAATGAGTCAGTCGAGGTCGACCGCATTGACATTGGATTCCAGCGGGACCTGGTAACGAATATACATTGTTAAAAAAAATCCTGTGATTATAAAGCAGGTATTCCCATCTTGACTTGGCAGTATATTAAAAGTAAAATTACTATAAATGAGAGCAATCTTTAGTGTTTAAAAACAAAGAGCCTATTCCGTTCATAGATTTACAGGTACGTAGGATTTACGTACATGTACAACCTGTAACACAGTGCATATCTCGAAGATAAGGCTATTGTACTAGACAGACATAATAACTTCACAAAGTTAATTGGAATCAAAATACGGCGCACTGTTCACAACTTGCAGAATAAAAATCAGTAAATTGAGACTCAATTTGACGAAGTGAAAAATTTCGCTCAGCTTTTATAACGCGATTGATCATTTCGATCACTGAATTTAAACGCATTCAAGGCGACGAATACAACTTTTTTTTGTATTTTATATTTTTTGCTTTTGCATATTTCTGGGCTTTTTTTTTTTTAATGTTTTTGTACTTTTTTAAACTTTCTACACGGTTCAGATCATTTCTAAATTCTCCTTTCATTTTACCATTAGGATATTTCGGAATAGATGCATATGGGCTAGATAAGTAATAAGAACAATCTCGTCAGTACAGAATGCTATATATTGTATCGTTTCTAAAGTAAGTATGTTTGAAATTCATATTTATTTTAAGACCGTTCGCCGACCTTGCTTTCCTTAAGATATTTGGATGACGACAAACTGTCTGATTTTCTTCCGACGCAGTCGGTAAAGTTTCGAATTGGTATCCTTTGACCTTAATGATTCTTAACTATGGTAACCGCGTGGGCGTTGTCGCTGATGTGTTCTCTGATTGGACGAAAATGTCATTGTTGATGTTCGAATATACGTTTGTTGAATATTATATTTTGTGATGTACAGCAGGTGATAGTTGTAAAATATATGTATATATATATATTTGAGATAAAAACTATCTTAAAACAATGGCACAGTTACTGTGTTTTTGATAAATAGCTTTTTTGTACAATAGAAAATGTTTAGTGGTGGAAAGTTTTTATTTCCAATACAAATTATTATACTAGAACGAATCCATCTATGCTGTTTTTATCACGGGGTTATAGAGAACGTGAACATTCAGACCACTCAATAAGATATGCGCACGCTACATAAAACCGGCAGTGGCGTAGCTAAGCCATTTTTAAATGTACGCCCGAACCTCGGCGAAGGGTTTGAGGGTCCCCAGCGGGTACAGGGCAAGGGACCTCCCAGCAGGGGTCCGACGGAAGCTAACGATATATTGAGAGAGAGATACTATTTCTGTCATTAAAACTCATCAATAGCAACATACTTTAAAGTTTAATTTCTTGATTTTTTCATGTATAATAACGAAATCCGAGATCTATATTCTAATTAGATTGAATTTATTCAGTGTGTTGATTTGGAATCTAATGGCCAATAGTTGTTACTATGAAATATGTTTAAAAGGAGATGTGGGGTAAAACAATCAATCGACTAAAGATCCAAACCTTTCGAAATATAAAAAAAAGCAAGTCTACATTTTCAATGGTGTCGTTCTTTTGATTATTATGACTTAATCTAGTTTTCTCCCCTTTTATGCGCAAATTTCGTTAATGGACAAGTACATGCAATAATAAATTCTCATAGATGGTTATGTGTAATATAAACATACTCAAAGGGTTCCGTGGAATCCTGTGTTTCGCCGCCTGGGATTGCTGCTGTCGGTTAAACTATAAAAAGTGAATCCATTTATCAGTCAAATACAGGATTTAAAAGAAATCAAACGTTTTCTTTAAATGTTTTTCTTGATCTTGGAAGATAAGCTTCTGTTCAAGTTTCATAACAATCTATGAAAGTTTACAAATGTAGCAGGTGCAAAATATTTAATTCAAGACCGTCTGCTAATTGCTCCCCAAAAAAAAATTTTAGACTGAAATTTGCTGACTGTTGTTAAAGTTTTGAAATCATTTAAAAATAAAGGAATATATCTCCCCCATGCAAAGCTCTGATTCTATGTCCGGAATTGGCTATACTTTAGGTACGTTTTATTTTGATCAGCTCTTCCAATGTTTTTATTAGGTTTTGGATTTTCAAATATTTCGGCCTCGAGCATCACTGATGAGACATTCATTGTCGAAATGTGCATCTGGTGCAAAAAAAAAAAAATTCG